TGAGCCATGTAGACGTTCCTGTCTTTAAACAATTGTAAGCATTGTTGACACTTTTTTCTTGTTGACAAAAGTGATATTCTAAACTATTCTAATGTACCTCGGGGGGCAGGGGCACACTGCCTTGGCCAACTCCCACATTTGCGCATTATTGACACTTCAGTTTGGTTAAAGTAAGACTTGGTAAACCACTTGCTTACTTATGTCAGAATTTCATTTTAGTTATCACTGGTATTGTCATCCTCATCATCTTTGTACAAGCAATATCGAAGTCTCATAGTTGGCTGCATAGATCTTTTTCTAAGAAATTTTTAGAAAATGATTTTCTGTGAACTTTATCCTACTGTTAGGAATGTTTGACGCTCCAGCTGCTTACTCGAAATGTTATATTGAAGTTCCTCATCGCATAAAAGAAAAGGAAAAGGAAATGCTGACTTGAAGTTACGTTAAATTTATTTTTCTTTCTTGTTACAAGCACCATATGCAAGACACTTAGAATGTGCATTTGTGTATCATTTAATATTCACTAGGCTCGAGCTTAGTGAACAATATATTGCTCCATGTTATGGGTTGCAACTTGCAATTGAGGATGTAGGACAATCGTGAAGTGCCACATGGTTGGGATTTAGCACGGCACCAGATGGCAGCATTGCTCACCATAGTGTGAGCAAGTGTCACTGATGCAGGACGCATAGGACCTAAATTTATTAGTTTCCTAATATATTTGTTAGTTTCCTAGATTCTCTAGTTTTTCAAATTCTAGTAGGATTTCTACTTTTCCAGATTTCCAGATTTCTAGTTTTAAGTTTCCTATTTTATTTGGGTTATGATTTCCGTTTAAGCAAGTGATTTTTATCCTATTATGTCTAGGTTTTAGTTTGCTATAAATACCCCCATGTAGTTCTTTAAAATTCAGATTTGGATATTGAGTAAACCTTCTCTTAAAACTATGTGATTTCTGTCCTTTCTTTCGTCCCTTCGATCTATATTTTCGTCTCCCCGACCTCCAATATTCTTCTTGTTCTACTGTTCTACCCTTTCTTTCGTCTTTTCGATCTATATTTTCGTCTCCTCGATCTCTTATACTCTTCTATGTTCTATTGTTTGGATGCTTAATCTAATACCTACGAGCTGTACTACATCAGTCACGCACTATTTTGTATCAATGTTTGATTATGTTGTCATTTGATGGACGCTTGTCCTTTCTTTCTTGTGTGTTTGTATAGGTTGTGTATTTTAAGGTTTCCTTATTTCTTCATGCAGCTATGATTATTACTCATTCTCAATCATTCCTGCACTGGGAGAGCTCGTTGCAGGAGATAGAGAATCTTATCAGTACTTGGTAGAGAGTATCCGCCGTTTCCCCTCACAGGTTTTATTTTCAGCTTCCATATTTTAATACTCCATTTCAGTTTTATCTGCAAATTGATTGGATATTGCTAGTAGTTCTTTTGTAACTTTTGTTAAATGTCCTTACAATTTATCTTAATTGATTATTGCAGGAGACATTTGCTTCAATGATTGCAGATGCAGGTTTCCAGAAGGTGGAATATGAAAATCTTGTTGGAGGAGTGGTTGCGATTCATTCAGGATTAAAAATATAGTAGTGTAGTTATGAATTTTAATCTAAAAAAATCTCAAAATTCTGCTTGAACAATTTTTGGCTTTGAGCTTTTTGTTTTGCCTACCTTCCTTCAGATCAAATGTAAGAAATTAAATAGGCGACCAAATGATTTTTTTGTCTTGTCCTATATAAAAATTCAATAGATAATTTTTTGTATATTGTTTCACAATTTTGGCCATGAGTATAGGTATGTGCTTCACTCTTTGAAACTATGAATCCCCAAACTCTCTCTCTCTCTCACACACACACACACACCAAAATATGACAATTCATCCATTACCGGTTTTCCCAATGATTTGGATCCACATTATCCTAACCCACAATTAAACTATTATGGTTGTATTGTCAGGATGAACTCTTAGCAGATAAGCTTTCCAATTCATTTTCCCAATCTTGACATGAAGCCAACAACTGTGAACATGATAAGAGAAGAACAAATTAAGGAAAAATATTTGGATATTATTTTATTAATTGACACATTTCTGCTAATGGCAAATGATGCATTACCAGCAAAGGCAAGCATGTATAACATTCATTCAGAAGATACTGATAACAAGTTCTCTGTTTCATAAGTTTTAAGTTTTAACTTGGTATTATTTTTCTTCTCCTCAACTTTGAGTTTAAAATAAAAGACATTTGTCAACGGGTCTAGCCCAATAAAAAAAGGCCCTTGATTTGCACATCAGTGGTCTCATGTTCAAACCTTCATGGTACCATGGTAGTGTGTGTGAAACTCCTCTTTGTAGTTTAAACTATTGCTTGTGTTAAAAACAAAAGCAAAAAAAACCTTTGAGACGTGTTCTTTCAATTACCTACATGAGGTTAAATGTTATATTTGATCATGTCTCAAGTGGGCTGCATGTGTCACTTTCTTCTATTTTTATTTGGATTATAACTCTTTTTGGCCCAAAAACCTTTTCTTATCAAAATGTTTTATTATCGCCAAAACTTTGACAATTTTTAGTAAAAGTGAAGCAGCTACGCGTTTGGTTATAAAATGGTGTGAGTATAAAAAACAATGTCATAGCATTTAGTAACATTTTTCTGGTAGAAGTCTTGTGATTGTGTATAATGACAAAAAGAACATGATATTGAAAATTATTTCAAAATACATTTTCAATTATTTTATAAAATTTTAATTGTAAAAGGGTCAAAAGTAAATAATAAACAAACCAGCTCGTTTCCCCTATAATCCACCCATAGGCCCGTTTGATTCACAGAATGGATTTGAGGAAAACCACTTCTCATGTCAATTTCCCCTTTCCATCATTCTCTTTTTTCTTTCTTTCTTGTCGTCCTGTGTTTTACATCTTTAACCCTTTGTTTGGATGAAGAAATTGAACATTACATAGAATTCTAAATTGACGGAATTTAGATTTCCATCATTTCAATTTATGGCAATTGAAAATTTCAGTGTTTGAATTTATTTATGTCGAATTTTCTAAACTACAGAATTTTGTAAATGGCACTGTGAAAATTGTGAAATGACGCCTATTTTGGTGAAAATTAAACTTGGGATTTAGATGCCCTAATTTCCACTATTTTTTCTACATGTCATTTAACAAATTTCGTGCTTAAATTGCCAAACAAGGGAATTGCCAATTTCTCCTCTTAAATTCCCGACTTTTACTTAAATTCTGATTTATTTTCCCTCATCCAAACGGACCATAAATTTTTTAAAAAGAACCACAATACCTAACCCACCCTTAGAGCACTTCCAGCGCTAGGCATTAACCCGGGTAAAAGGCCCCCCGAAGCCCAGTTTCGCACTCCAACGCAGCACCTGCAGCCCAGGCAAGCCCTGGGTCCCACCAGCCGGGGCAATCCCAATGGCAGATCTTGATTGGGCCGTTGCTCTCGGGCTGCTGACGTCAGCATCTGATTTTCAATTTTTTTTTAGCATTTGTGATTATATATATCAAAGCGAATTAAGCTTTTCTGATGCATATATGTGACAAGAATGACCTTTTTGTGCATAATTTTCTGTCTTAACCATGTGCCTCCTTCTTATTCTTCTCAACCAAATTAATGCATGTATTTGTGTGTATGTACATTGTATTTCATTATTATTGATGTCCCTAATGGGGACATTCAGACATTATTATCGTGCGGATACCATGTATTTTGTACTACTCCTCCTTACTTTTTTGCTTGTTTACAATGGCATTTGCACGACGTACGAATATTCAGATAAAAGAATATTGATAAGTCCATAAATTTACACATTTATGTACTCTTTATATGTATTCAATTCTAACTTTTAATGACTTTTAATGAGTTTAAAAGTCTGAAGGTATTCAATTGTGACTTTTAAATAGTCTTTAAAAGTTTAGTTGTATTCAATTGTGAGTTTTAAAGAGTATTTAAAAGTTTTGAGGTATCCAAAATGTTAATGACTTTTAAAAACTTTGTTAAATAAATGACTTTTCAATACTTTTAAAGGTAATTCTTACTACCAAAAGTCTTGCTAATTTACACCAGACTTTATAAAAATATTGGGAAGCTGAGAAGATAGAACCAAAACGTCTCCAAACGTCTCCAATTCCTTTTTCCTTTGTTATATCAAGCATCATGCAGATGGATCTTTTTTCTTCATGGTTAGGGCTCCACTTTGGTATCCCATTGTCATCCACTTCCTTCAGGTTAGTAAAAAAATATTGAATGTTTTTCTTCTCTTCTCATCCACACGTTTCTGTTGATGAATATCTCTTCTCATCCACTTCCTTCAGCTATGTTTGCATATAAATATTTTATTATATTGATTGTCTCATATGCTAAGTTTGCATGCCTAAGCTTTTTTAAAAACTGAATCATGGCTAGTTGAATGCCAATTATTTCCTTATGGTACATTTTCAAATGTACTTTGTCATTTTTATCATTTTCTAATGTTAAGGAGAACTATTCTTTGCTTTTATGTAATTGTATCCAATTGTTTTTT